ATCCTGTGCAAAACAAAAAGAACGGGTGCTAGATGCCAAACTCAGGAAGTCTTCCCCAAACTCTTCTCTTATCGAAACAGCCAGAGAAGCCACCCATTCGTTACATACAGTCAGATTAATGTAAACTGAATGACTCAAACCAAGGGTGCAGTTACCCACAGCTCCACAGGACCATGACAGGCCACAAGCAGAAGCAGGAGGCTGAGGAGCCTCCTTGGGGCTGACGAAAACATGCACAACACCACAGAAATATCACTGTCCCAACCTAAGTGTTATTTGATTACTTCTGTAATGGTCACCTGGAAGGAGAACAATTATGTCCAAGGTGGACCTACTAATCTGGATGTAGCATTGCCCCTTCCAATCACAAGATGGTCCCGCACTCTGCCTCCTGCCCATCTGAAATCCTGGTTTGTTGAGGGTCTCTTACCTATGAAGACCCAAGCTCAGACCTTATGGGGACAATACCAAAGCATTCCCATGGTGCAGTACGTGGGCTCAGAAAAGCCTGAGGTATCAAAGCTGTACAGAAACTTGAGTTAACTGCAAAAACCAGAATCACTCAGATACTCTTTTCCATTATAACCTGAAAAAGAGTTAACATTGTTTTATTTTGGGTTTAGTGATTTTTTTTTCTTTTTAGCAATCACGTTCTCACCCTTTCTGGGAAACTTTGTGGGCTACTTCCAGGCTGAACACTACAGTCATGGATCATTTGCTGAATGGATGAGCAGCACCAGTCAGCTTTCAAAACAGCCCTTCCGACACTGCAAAAAGACCTAAGTTGCCACATCACATCACATCACATCACATCACGTCACCCAAGAAGGTAAGCGTGAGTTTCAGCCACCATTTCCAGACTTTCCCCATTACTTCAATGAGAACAGCATTTGCACGCTTGTTTTAGCCCAGTCAAGCAAAGAAGATTTCAAGTCCGTCACCTAGTGAACAAAACTGACGCTGGCTCAGGCATGGAGGGCAAAGGAAACAATCGGGACTGTCCAAGGGCACACAGAGGTCACGTTGTACTTTCACATGTGTGAAAAACTGAATGCAAACTGCAATGCCGCTGGGTGACGCGAGCGCTGGGCAGAAACCTGGGTCTGTCACATGCTGTGTTCCCCTGGCTCAGACACAGCTTTCATGCAACTCAGTGGTTTTGCAATTCCGTGTTTACTCTGTGAAGAGCAAGGAAAGCTTGAGCAGAGCCACTCTGAAGCCCGTTCACCAGATTTTAGTCTGTGCTACGTGGATGGCTCTGCTGCTAGGGAGTCAAGACCTTGAAGATGGTGCACTCCTGATGGCCAGAACTGAAGGAGGTGCACCTCCAGTGAAGGGTCTGCTAGCTGCACATAGCATGACAATGTCTGGTTTTAAGTGCAGATCAGAAAGCCTACAGCCTTTGAGGATGGAGACTTCCACTGGCAAAATAAAACAGCCACCACCCTGCTCCAGTCTCCCACGAGGAATGACATATCCCTAGGAGAACATTTTCCAAAGTGTGAGACACATCTGTATTTTCTCCTGAAATGAAGGTACAAGAAAGCTGTGCAGCACAGATCTGTAAATAAAGAATGGACACAGAACAGTGTTCATGCAGAAACAGGAAAAATACCTCAAGAAACAACTTCTGTAGGAGTCCCCAGATCTCTGTGACTCATCATGTTCTGAGTCTGTCCACTGAGCATGACAATGGGGGCAGAAAAAAGGGTGATGCATCAGCTAATACCAACCTAAGCTGTTGCTGAGCATCCAACAGACAAGAGCAGCGTGGGTCACCTGGAGGAACATTCATGCTCAACAGAATCTGTGCAAAGCTGTCAAATGCACATTTCAGCAAGAAAATACATGTCTTGAGGAGCCACAACAGGTTGTTACATTCACAGAACAACAGAATGGTAGGGGTTGGAAGGGACCTCTGTGTGTCATCTAGCCCAACCGCCCTGCCAAAGCAGGGTCACCCACAGCAGGCTGCACAGGACCACTTCCAGGCAGGGGTTTGAAAATCTCCACAGAAGGAGAATTCACAGCCTCCCTGGGCAACCTGTTCCAGGGCTCCATCATCCTCAGAGTGAAGAAGTTCTTCCTCATGTTCAGACGGAACATCCCAGGCTTCAGTTTGTGCCCGTTGCCCCTTGTCCTGTCCCTGGGCACCACTGGAAAGAGTCTGGCCCCGTCCTCCTAACACCCACCCTGCAGATATTTAGAGGCATTTCGAAGGTCTCCTCGGAGCCTTCTCTTCTCCACGCTGAACAAGCCCAGCTCCGTCAGCCTTTCCTCCTAGGAGAGATGCTCCAGTCCCCTCCTCATCCTCGTAGCCCTCCGCTGGACTCTCTCCAGTAGCTCTTGCTGGCATCCACCAGCACTCCCAGGTCCCTCTACACAGAGCTGCTCTCCAGCAGGTCAGCCCTGAACCTGTACTGGTGCAAGGGGTTATTCCTCCCCAGGTGCAGGACCCTGCATTTGCCCTTGTTGAACTTCATCAGGTTCCTCTCTTCCCAGCTTTCCAGCCTATCCAGGTCACGCTGAATGGCAGCACAGCCTTCCGGTGTA